ACAGTATCTATAAAGCTAACACACTTATTTTTTTTCTTTTTTATCACCATAGGGATCCCAGTAATTGAGCCTTTATCAAGTATGTTCAAGTGATTTTTGAACTTATTCTCTTGTAGAATCACACTATCATTCTTGTACACTTTCAATCAATCATTACTATCATAATATGTGTACCCTCGATAAGCTAACTCACCCAAAGCAATCAAATTGTGGTGACAACTTGATACATACCTTACATGATGAAGTGTCCTAATAACACCATTGTGAGATCTAAGGTGAACACTCCCAATGCCTTGAATCTGCACCTTTTCTTTGTTAGCAATCATAATATCTCCATACTTTTCATTCTCATCCAACTTTACAAAAGTAACTCCTATCATTGCAAACATGAACTGTAGTAGCTGAATCTAAAACTCAACCTTTATCAATTTTCAAAGTCTAAGTCTCATCAACACAAGTTGTCAAAACAACATCGTCATCATCAGACACGATAGCAGCAGTATCACTATTTTTTTCATCTGATTTTTTCTCATCATTTGCCCTTTTAAAAGCAGCTATATCCTTTCTCAGCTTTCTGCAGTGCACTTGGATATGTCTCTTTTCACCACAATAATAACATTTTATATCACTGTAATCTCTGTCTCTTGACTTGGATCTCCCTCTTGATCCATCAATCCTATTTTAAGTCCTCCCTCGATCAAAACCCTCTACAGCTAGTGTACTCCCCCTAGGTGATGAGCTCTAAGCTCCCATAAACCTTTCATTTTCACACAACAAGGTAGTCACATCATCCAACTTCAAAGTAGACCTGCCTACCAACACAGTTTGAATTAAAGACCTATAAGACTTGGGCAAAGATGATAGCAAAATTAAAGCCTTCTCTTCATCTTTTAACTCATCAACGTAAAATCGCTAGCAATTGAGAAATCAATCTATTAAACTCATTCAGGTGATTATGAAGACTCATACCTTCTTGCATCTTCAAAAAATATAGATCCATCTTCAAACATAATCTATTAGTCAATGACTTCGAAGCATAAATACCTTCAAGCTTATCCCACAAACTCTTCGGAGTACTCTCAGTCAATACACTGTATTTTACCTCTGGAGCTAGCGCCAATCTAATAGTATTAACAGTTTTCTTCTGAATCTTATTCCAATTAGCGTCAGACATTCCTTCAGGCTTATTATTCTCTAATGCCTGATCCAACCCTTGTTGTATTAATAGATCTTGAATCGTACTTTGTCATAATATAAAATTACTATTTCCATCAAATAACAGAATCTCAAACTTAGGCATAGGCATACCAGATATATCTTCTTCAGACATCTTTAAACACTACTTCATGATCTCTTAGGTCCACAAACCTTAAACCTCGATTCAAGATCTGTTAGTACAACAAGTGGTATCAAAGCAAGGTTCGAGGTTTAAGGTTCGTGGACTTAAGATATCGTGAAGCAGTGTTTGAAGATGTCTGAAGAATGTATTTTTGGTATGCCTATGCCTAAGTTTGAGATTCCGTTATTTGATAAAAAAAATAATTTTATATAATGGCAAAGTACGATTCAAGATCTATTAGTACAATAAGGGTTGGATCAGGCATTAGAGAGTAGTAAGCCTGAAAGAATGTCTGACGTTAATTAGAATAGGATTCAGAAGAAAGCTGTTAGTTTTATTAGATTGACGCTAGCTCCATAGGTAAAATACAGTGTGTTGACTGAGAGTACTCCGAAAAGTTTATGGGATAAGCTTGAAGGTATTTATGCTTCGAAGTCGTTGACTAATAGATTATGTTTAAAGATGGATCTGTATTCTCTAAAGATAAAAGAAGGTATGAGTCTTTATAATCACTTGAATGAGTTTAATAAATTGATTTCTCAATTGTTATCATCCGTGGACGCAGGTTGATTGGACCGAACCACGTTAAATTATTGTATCTTATGTGTTTGATTTATTATTTGATTTCACTTCCACTAGTGTGATTGGATTGAAGGCTTTTAGCCCAATAAATGGTATCAGAGTCGTGATGTTCCCCAACAAATGGTATCAGAATTATGGTGATCTCCAACAAATGATATCAGAAATATGATGTTCCCCAACATTTTTGAGTGTTCTGGCCGAAAGCTGGTTGGTGGTTGAGGATGAGGAAACCTAGACTTGAAGAAAGTACGATCAGAACACCAACACCAATACTTGGTTGATTTGGAAGGGCGGTGAACAGTATAAAAATAAGATTAATTATTATAGTGATAAAATTAAAATTTGTGTTGAAATATGTGTTTAAATATAAAAATAATGATTGTGATAAGATAAATAATAATAATAAAAATAATTGTTAAGAATATTAAATATATTAACTAAAAATTATATTAAAAAATTTTAATTGTTTAATATTTTAAAATTATTAAATTATTATTAAATTATTTTAAAATCAAATAATAGTTTTATTAATAAATAAATTTAAATGATTTTTTAATTAATTTATTATATATTAATAAAATTTATTTTTATATTAAAGTAACAAAAATACTTTATAATTTTTAAATAAAAAACTTGGAGAAAAAATAATAAAAAAATCAAATAAAAAATATTTAAAGAAAAGTTAAAAATTGTTAACTTAAGGAAAAAAATGAAAAAGAAAAATTGAAGAAATTGCGTCCAGTGAACACTTGATGAAAATTTCAACGTATCACAATAACGTTTGAAACTGCCGTTAGCTTAATTTTTTATAACAATTATATCGTCATTGCGGGTCCGATACATTTCAAATGAGACTTCGAGCCAATAAAGCGTTTAGGATTTGATGAAAGAAAAGATGAATTATGTGAAAAAATTAAAATGGAAAGAAAATGTTGAAGTCTTCTAGACTTTAACTTTTTTTTTATTTAATATATGAAATAAAATAAAATAACTTAATTAAAACAATTTACAGATGATAATAAATTTAAAAAATATTAAAAAAAATCTACGTAAATGATTTTCAACTACATTTAATAATTTAAAACAAACATAAATTATATTTGATCATTCCAGATAAATTAAAAATTAAATATTTAATTCTAAATAATATCTTAATTAGAGGTATTAGGTGAATTTTTTCTCGATGAAGAATTAGTTAAAACGTGACAATTGAACGTACATATGTCACGGATCGAGATTTAAGCTTTGAATTCGTGTAGTTTTGGGACCTGAACATCTATTTATCTAATTTCTCAAATCAATTTCCTTACAATGATTCATATTTTTGTGAGGTATTATCTGCTTTAGTCCTTTGATCTTACAATTTTATCTTACAAAAAGCATTTTATAAAAAAAAGATTATGTGAACTATTTTATATCTCAATAATCTTTTTATTATATTGAATATAAAATTCAAGATTTTTTTTTAAATCCGTGACGCATAAGGCTATGCAATCACAAGAATTAACTTTGTTGATCGAATAAATGAATATAACATAAAATCAGGTAATCGTAACTTGCCTTAGCCGGGTATAGTATACTTCTTCTTCAGCTGACTGACTAGATTTTGATTTTGATTCTTTTTTTTCGCCAATTTGATTTTGATTTTTGTTATTCAATCTTCATTTCTTGAATTATAGTGATTGAAGAAGCAGCAGTAGCGAATAGAGAATTAGACTTTGGAGGGCCTTTTTGTTTTTGATGTTGTTATGTTTTTACTTGGTCGTTGAGTCCGATTTACAAAGACTTCGCTAACATGCGCCTTTCACTTTCTTTTCTTTTATTTTGAGGTTTTTTTTCTTCTACAAAATTTTTATTATTTTGTAGCTGTTTTATTTTCCCAATATTTTGAACTGAGCATGTATATCAATAAATTAAAAAAATATAAAATTAAGGATTATAATATAATTAATTATCATCAAAATCTAAATGCATGTTATGTTTTAATAAATGCGACGAAAATAAAATGAATTTTAGCCGATTTTATTCATGAGTTGTTTCACCAATTTACTAATTCAATTAATCTCTTCTAAAGAGACTTTTCAATTAGATTTGACAAATAGGATAGGGAAAGATAGTTTTTTATCTGTCCTAAAACTAACTCAGACTATATAAAATTGAATTAATCTTCCTAATTGGTATTTAATAATAAATTTATTAAAATATTATACATAAATTTAGCAATACAAAACTAAAAAATAAAAATTATGAAAACATTTTACTGACAATCATTATAATTAATTAATAAATTATAATTTAAAATAATACGAAATTCATTAAAATTTTATGTGAAATCTAATGTTATGAGTAAAAGGTCTTTACATAATTTATTATTATAATTAAATAGTTACAAAATTATAATAAAAATAATTATAGATGATATATTTTTAAATATATATATTTTGATTGAGAGAAAATATTCTAAATTTATACTGACCTAATTTTTTTATTTTCATGTCACTCGCCTAGGGTTGGCATTGGGTCGGGTTCGGGGCGGGTTTTGCTCGCCCCGAATCCTACCCGACTTTATCATCAATAAACCCGACCCCCGACCCCGACCCGAACTCGATATTATATAATTTGTACTCGATTCGATCCGATCCGAAATTAATAAAAATATATTTGTTAATATATATATTTAAAAATAGTTTATTTATATAATATATATATGAAATAATTAAAAAATTAATAAAAAATAAGTTTTTTAAAATATATCGGATCGAGTAAGGTCGGGTATGCCTAAAACCCGACCCGACCCCGATTATTTCCTAACATTACTCGACTCGACCCGAAATCCGAAATTTAAAAAAAAAAAAATTCGACCTCATAGGATCGGGTCGAATCGAAACCCGCCGGAATCGGGTTAAATTCCTATCCCTACACTCGCCTCCATTTTGAAACAAAAGAAAAAAAAAGTTCTATTAAATCAAGGCAAGACGAAACCCCCGAGTACGAGGTGTTTACTGTTTACCATACTTATTTTCAATTTTCAACAAAGCCAAAAATTATTTGAAAACTTCACAATGAAAACTTACCACAGGAGTTGAGTCTCAATCGTCAAGTCCAAAACAGTTTCGAATACTACTACTAGAACCAGAGTTTGTTCTCGAAAGTACATGGCCGTGGCCGGGTGATCGTGTCTTCATCTTAGTATTAGAAGAGCTCCAGCCTATCCACATGGTCAGGACAGGCTAAATGGTGCCATTACCCGGAGACGTCAATGGTTTTTTTCCAAACATCATTGGTCAAATCTCATGTAAATTTCAATTTCAGTTCCCAGCTTCTTGGAGATAGATTCGACCATAATTACGTCGTGCCGCCCATTCAGAAATTCCATCAGGCGGATTTACCCGACTTCAGGTAAAAGACATTGGCAACTTGAACACGTTGGTTTTGTACTAATAACAATGGCTCATTTTAACACGTGTGCCGCTATTATTTTAAGCACTTGAGCATAGCCAAAACGCTGACCATTCACGGAACCACCATCGTTTTGAAACGGTCTCTTCTCCACGCCTCCAAATTTACAGCGCCGTTCTGCTGAACCACTAATTATTTTCTCTAAAATAAACAACACCAATTAAAATTTTGCATTTGAATTTTCTGATAAAAATCAAAATTTCTATCTGCAGACAAACTCTCAGACTCGAAATTTTTAATTTTTATCCAAAATCAACCATGGTTTTTCAGAAGAAACAGATCTCGTCCTTATCTTCAAAAATTTTGAAGTCTCCTCTACCAAAAGAAGACACGCCTCTTCTAGGCAAGGCAGAGCCGGTGTCGTCGCAATCCAAGACCTTTGCAAATGTTTTCATAGCCATAGTCGGTGCTGGCGTTTTGGGCTTGCCTTACGCCTTCAAGAGAACCGGATGGATCATGGGCCTGCTCATGCTTTTCTCCGTTTCTGGCTTGACCACCTATTGTATGATGCTTTTGGTTTACACCCGCCGGAAGCTCGAGTCTTTTGACAATGGTCTTTCCAAAATCGCTTCTTTTGGTGATCTGGGTTTCATTGTTTGTGGCACCGTTGGCAGGTTTGTTGTTGTTTTTGTTACGTTTTGAATTCTATCTTGATTTGATTTTTTTGGGGTTGCCTGCTTTTGATTGTTTATGCTTTTGGGGAAATATTTTTTGTGATGGAAACACGAAATTGTCCATTAAATTGCATTTTAATATCTGTTTTGAACGATAAAAAAAAAAAAAATCCACGATTTTGGGGTTAAAGCTAGGTATTAAAATTAAGTTTTTCTGTTGGGTATCTTTGTTGTTATTGATTATGTTCTTTGGTAGATCAATAGACTTTCTGATCATTATTGTTGCTTGAGCTGGTTTTATATTGGGTGTGTTGTGGAAATTGCTGCTAATTTGGTTAATCTTATGGTTTATGAAACACAAAAGATGCTCATTAGTCTGCATTGGATTACTTATTACGTCAGGTTCCTTTTTAAAGTTATTATTGTACAACAGGATTGGTTTTGGTTACTAAAACTTGGATCCTCTTTCAACAATGAAACTAAAAATGAGCCAGTAAATTTTGGCTGAATTGAAAGCTGCGTCTTATACTTGTTGATAATTTTATGGCTAATCTTTTTCCAATGAGAAAGCATCCTAATTTGATTATTTTTTATCCTCTTGTTGCTAAATCTTTTAATATTTCTGTTGGCAGGTTTGTTGTCGATATACTTATTATTCTCTCTCAAGCTGGATTTTGTGTTGGGTATCTTATATTCATTGCTAACACTCTAGCCAATCTTTTTAACAATGAAATACCCATGATTTCAAGCTTAAGTTTGGGGATGTCCAGTTTTACAGCTAAGAGTATGTATATATGGGGATGTTTTCCGTTTCAGTTGGGGTTGAATTCAATTGCAACATTAACCCATTTAGCCCCATTGAGTATTTTCGCTGATGTGGTGGATCTTGGGGCAATGGGAGTGGTGTTGGTTGAGGATTTGTCACTGATCTTGAAGCAAAGGCGCGAGGTTATGGCTTTTGGGGGTCTCTCTGTGTTCTTTTATGGCATGGGTGTGGCTGTTTATGCATTTGAAGGGATTGGTATGGTTTTGCCTATAGAATCTGAGATGAAAGACAATGCTAAGTTTGGAAAAATATTGGCACTGAGCATGGGTTTGATTTCTTTGATATATGGAGCATTTGGTGCGCTTGGTTATTTTGCTTTTGGTGCAGAAACCAAAGATATTATTACTGCTAATATGGGGGCAGGCTGGGTCAGCACTTTGGTTCAACTAGGTCTTTGCATTAATTTATTTTTCACTTTCCCATTGATGATGAATCCAGTTTATGAGATTGTAGAGAGGCGATTTTGGGGAGGGAGTTACTGTTTGTGGCTAAGATGGCTGCTGGTTTTGATTGTAAGTTTGGTGGCTTTGTTCGTGCCAAATTTCGCTGATTTCTTGTCCTTGGTTGGAAGCAGTGTGTGCTGTGGTTTGGGGTTTGTATTGCCAGCTTTGTTTCATTTGTTGGTGTTCAAGGAAGAGCTGGGGTGGAAGGGATGGACTTTGGATGTTGGAATTGTGGTCTTGGGCCTTGTTCTTGGAGTTTCAGGAACTTGGTCTTCTCTGATGGAGATTTTATCTGTTAAGGTGTAGACCTACAGTTTACAACGAAGGTGAAGTTCTGAACTGCTCCTTGATAAACTGCTCTTTGTTTTAGTATCTCATTTATAAAATCTAATTATTATCTTTAGGTAAGAAATTACCTCATCAATCATCATAAAGTTGAAAAGACATGATATTTTACCTCAACGCAAGTGTGAATCGTTGATAGTCTAGTGTGGGACATTAGTTGTGCTATAATTAGTAACTGTTCCCCATTCATCCATCTCTTAGGTGGTAGATGTTAGAACTATTAATTTTTTATCCCAATGAAGACAAGTTTGAGTATCAAATTTCGAGGACAGGAAAAAAGATGGGTATGTTCTTGAAATACTCATGAGGTGCGGGGATGGGGACGAATTGCATAGCATCCATCTTATATCGTACGGATTTATTGTATGTATGTTTAATAAATATATAAATATAAATATATTTTTGTTATTATGTTAATAAATATGTATAAATTTTTACTTATTTTAAATTATTGATGTTTAAATTTGTTTTAACGTGTTATTGTATTTGTTTTAAACTTTTAATATGCATCATTGTTTGTACATTTTTATTTATTTTAATAACTATTGAATATATTTTAATGTTTATTTAATTTATTTTAAAATCTGTACTCTTTAAATCTCCACGAGAATGAGAATGAACATAATTTATTGTCTGAAAACAAGTATGAATATGGAGATGGGAATATTGTAAAAAAAGGGGGGGTGGGGACTGTGATGGAAAATGGTCTCTGCTTTGTGGCTGTTCCATTGACATCCCTATTAGGTTTTGTTTTGCACCACTAGCCTTGGGGGTTCAATGGAAGCTAAGGGTGCAGTGTAGCATGGTGCGAGTTGCACCCTTGCTATAAAACAAATACATTCATCATATGTTATAACCAGTTTCCAAATTTTATGCCATATAGAAAGATGATCCAGTTAGAGATAACCACTGCCAGAAAGTTAAGCTTAGAGCATTAAGCAAAGGTATAAGTATCTGCGTAATCCAGCAAATAGATCCATCACATAGTAGCAGTGGCGGATTCACATATAGAGTCAAAATTTTTGAAAAAAGAAAATTTAAATAAAATTTTTTTTCCGAACGCTTAATTATTTTTGGGATATCTTTTCATTGATAAAAATAATAAATTTGTTAATATTTTATATATATATTATAAATAAACACTAAAAAAAAAAATTGTATCCGTCACTGCATGATAGGGGGAACAGAGCCAAGCTAGGCCTCGGGGTGAATATTGTTCTCCTTTTAAGCACTTCTAATGATTTTGCATGCCTGGCTTTGTCGCCGATGTCTTTGGTGGTAATGGTGTCTCCATTATACATTTTGTATGTTTCGACTTAGGAGGGAATTGGGAACGTGTTTTCAAGCCACAAAAGGCCCCTGCCAGTGTACTGGAGCCTTTTTTTTTCCTACTTTTGGCTCTAAATTTGCTTTTCAATTTTCCATTTTTTTTTATTTCTCACACAAAATTTTACTCTTTTTTATATATATTTTATAGTTATGTTAAAACTTAAATATAATAGTTTAACCCTTTCTATTAGTTTAAGTTTTAGAGATAATCGGATACCCAACTTAATATAATATCAAAATTCTTAATCTTGAAAATATTATTTCCATTTAATATTTCTTCTAGAAGTGTTTTGTTATTCATTTGACTTTAATAATTGGATTCTTTTTCTATTAACTTATTAAAATTTTAAGATAAGCAATCCACTTAATTTAATAATAATAATATGGTTCAATAGAATTTGGTTAGTTGGATTTATTTTTAGCAAGAAAAAAAATAGCAACCATTCTAGAAAGAAAATTATTGATTTCTTACTCTTTTCGGAACAGAGTTTGAGGATTGATGATTGCTTAAGTCAAAGACAGCAACAGTTTTTCATATGTTATTAAAGGTGGGACCTAAAAAATAATAAAAAGCAGGAATAGGAGTCTTTCCTTTATCAACCAAAAAAGGCTGGGATTGATAATTAAGATATGAATTATTTTCCTAAACACAATGGTTTTGATAGAGGCGGAGAGGAGGGGGATTGGGGCTAGGCCCCCACTGTTGGGCCTAACAATACGTGTTCCCCAAGTCCAAATACAAGCCCACATTCATCAGAAATATGGGGCATTTGCCTGCCCCCAAAATGGTGTTAGGGTTCAGCTTCTTTCATTTTTGTTATCTATTTTTTGTATTTTAAGTGTAATTAATTTAACAATGTCAACCTGCCTCATATCTCATACATGTGCCATGTGAGCACATTATATGTTGGTGGGAGCAGCTGCTCTTGCATTAAAGCCCTTGAATTTTAATTCATTTCATAAGTAAACTAGATTGACACTTGTACTAGTTCACACTTCACAGCTTAAAACACTTTACATTGATTTCAACACAATATTTCCGGCTCAACTGGGGAAAAACTATTTTTATCTCACGGTTTTGATCCTCAGTCTCGAGTCCTTTCACAAGTACAATAATGCACAATCATAAAGAAAACCATGATTCCAAGTAGGACGCTAGTAGAGCTTGGATTCCAAGTAGAAGTTGAATTTCTCTATAAGTTTGTTGTTTACACATTTCTGGGAGTCTTTGTTTCATTCATAGCTTTTATTTCCTTCACGCGTTATAGTAAATATGGAATTAATACATGCAATATTGACTTCTTTAATTTTTGCGTTTATTATGTGTATATATTATAGTATATAGTTATTTGATTCTTACTTGCTTTTCTAAAAAATGAAGCTATAAATTTCCTTTGATCCATTTTCATAACCCTTTTCATATGGATTTGAATTTATCCTATAAAATATACTAAGGTATATGAACAAATATAAAATATCAATTAACTAAGAGGAAAAAACTAGATTTAGCGATTCATATTATCATATCGTGTAAAATATTATATTCGTACTGTGCTTTACACGAAAATCGCGTGTTACAATTTATGTCAATATAAAAATATAACAAATAATTTTTTGATTTTATTAAATCTATTTATGATTTTTTTTAAATTTTAAGTCGTGTTATCTTTGTATTTTTTATTCTTATTGTTTTTGTATTGTATCACTATGTCATGTTTCAAATTGTCAGGTTTAAAAAAAAAATCACTTTAAATTGAAGAATTATATTTTTGTCCTCATTTTACTAGATAAGCTAATTTATTTTACTAAGCATCTCATTACAAACAAAAAAAAAATTAATGCTTTTTTTACATGTATAATCTAGAAAAAAAGCAAAACTTTTCTTTTAGTCACATTCTTTGGAGTTTTAATTCGAAATACCATAATTGAAAGATTAAACAACATTTAAAATTATAATTGTTTATTCCAAAAGAAAATTAATATATTATACCATTATTTATAAAAAGGAAAAAAATGTAGTCCTTGCATTTAGCGGAAAAATAAATTGATAAAGAAACATGAAAAAAAGATTGTAATAAAAATAAATTCAAATTTTAATTTAATGATATATTTTTAAAAAATAACATTTAAAAAAAATCTAATTTCAAATACCATCAGTTACCATCTTTTCTTTTAATACTACTACGTCCTTATATATATGTAAAATCCAATGCAAATAAACGATAAGATAAGTAGCTGACAGCCTGACACTCATGGTAATCAATTTGGTCATTGAAGACTTCACATCCGACTTAGATTAATTCGAGTTGTCTAGATTCTAGAAGTGAGTAAAACTACGACTAAATCTTAAATTTTTTTGGCATCGCAGATTAATGTTGTTTTTATGCATAAAAAGTGTTATTATTTTAAATTTAATTTAATTGATTCATATAATTATATTTAAAAAATATTAATTAAATTTAAATTTAAATTTTAATATTTATAATTCTTTTTTAATTCTTAGACTATGATCTCTTTTATAAAAAAGAGAATGCTGTTATCCTTTGATCAGTTCCAACCCAAAATCTTAATGCAGAAATCAGACCTTGCATTATTGCATTTGCACTTAATGTGAAGTCTGATTTAACATTGCTGCTGCCGTTGAAAAAGCTCAGCTTGAACAATGTGTGTTTAAAGAGTGTTATAAAAAAATTATTGTGAAAAATTATGATTTAAATTTTATAAGTGTTTAGTATCACTGTTAAAAATCGTTGTAAAAAATTAAAATATTTAAAAAAGACATGATGTTATGAAAGGAAAAATATGTTATTTTTGTCAAAAATAAATAATTGAATATTTAATTATATTGTTTTCAAATCATAAATTTTAAACTACAACTATACTTCTGTTGGGAACCCACACACAAAATAACAAGCTTAAATAAAAAATAAGAACACAAATATATTTGGTTAGGCTCAACTCAAAATGACATACTCCAAACTCAATCCAGTAACAAATAAATCTTTACAATTGTAAGATTTTTAGAATGAGAAAAGTCTCATAAAACTTCTTACTCAAAACTTAACCCAAAACCTAATTACACCATTTAATAACCTACTCACTTAGCTATTCTCTTAGTGTTTAAATCTCTGAGATTACCAAACTCAAACTCACTTAACTTTCGATGTGGGATTCTGAGATTCAAGGTAAATCCCAACAAATCCTCCATTGACTTGAATCTTCAAACATTTCAATAGTATCTGCAAAACTAACACGCTTACCTTTCTTCTTTTCTTTCATCACAGACATCCCAACAACCGAGCCTCCATCAAACATGTACAAATGATTATTGACCCTATTTTCTTGTAGAATCACACTACCAGTCTTGTATACTTTCAACCAATCATTATTACCATAATATGTGTACTCCCGATAAGCTAACTCACCTAAAGCAATCAAATTGTAGTGATAACTTGGTATATACCTTACATGACGAAGTGTCCTAACACCATTGTGAGATCTAAGGCGAACACTCTCAATGCCTTGAATATGCACCTTTTCTTTGTTAGCAATCACAATATCCCCATACTTATATTCTCATCCAACTCCGTAAAGCAACTCTTATCATTGCAAACATGAATTGTAGCAGCTGAATCTAAAACCCAACCTTTATCACTTTTCAAAATCTGAGTCTTATCAACACAAGTTGTCAAAATAATATCATCATCATCAGACACGATAGCAGCAGTATCACTCTTTTTTTCATATGATTTTTTCTCATCATTCGCCCTTTTAAAAGCAGCCATATCCCTTCTCAACTTCCTGCAGCGCACTTGGATATATCCCTTCTCACCAAAATAATAACATTTTATATTACTGTAATCTCTATCTCTTGACTTGAATCTCCCTCTTGATCCATCAATCCTCTTTTGAGTCCTCCCTTAATCAAAACCCTCTCAGTTAGTGTACTCCCCCTAGGTGATGAGTTTTGAGTTCCCATAAACCTTTCATTCTCACGCAATAGGATAGTCACATCATCCAACTTCAAAGTAGACCTACCCACCCACACAATCTGAACTAAAAGCCTATAAGACTTGGGCAAAAATGAAAGCAAAATTAAAGCCTTCTCTTCATCTTTTAACTCATCAACAGAAATCGCTAGCAATTGAGAAATCAATATATTAAACTCATTCAGGTGATTATGAAGACTCATACCTTCTTTCATCTTCAAAAAATATAAATCTATCTTCAAATATAATCTATTAGTCAATGACTTCGAAGCATAAATACCTTCAAGTTTATCCCATAAACTTTTCGGAGTACTTTTAGTCAACACACTGTACTTTACTTTTGGAGCTAACACCAATCAAATAGTACTAACAGCCTTCTTCTGAATCCTATTCCAATTAGCATCAAACATTCTCTTAGGCTTACTACTCTCTAATGCCTGATCCAACCCTTGTTGTACTAACAGATCTTGAATCGTACTTTGTCATAACATAAAATTACTCTTTTCATCAAATAACAGAATATCAAACTTAAGCATAGTCATACCAGACATATCTTATTCAGACATCTTGAAACACTGCTTCACAATTTTTTGGGCCCACAAACCTTAAACCTCAAACCTCAAACCTCGCTCTGATACCACTTGTTGAAAAAAATAACACCCACACGTAGAACCCACACACAAAATAGCAAGCTCAAATTAAGAATAAGAACACAAATATATTTGGTTCGGCCTAACTTAAAATGGCTTACTCCAAACCCAATCCATTAACAAATAAATCTTTACAACAGTGAGAGTTTTAGAATGAGAAAAATCTTATAAAACTTTTTACTCAAAACTTAACCCAAAACCCAATTACACCCTTTAATAGCCTACTCACTTAGCTATTCTCTTGGTGTCTAACTCTCTGGGATTACTAAACTAAAAAAAAATACCTTATTTATAAGGGTGAAACCCCTTATACTTTTACTAAACTCTTGATGTGAGATACAAGACAAACTCAAACTCATTTAATTTTCGATGTGGGATTCTGAGATTCAAGGTAAATCCCAACAACTTCTTAATTAACTTTTGCAATTAGCTCACTTTTAATAGTAAAAAAAATATTTTTAACACAAATCATTGTTTGTTTATCATTGCTTTTGTGTTCAAAACTTAGATATTGTAACCCAAATACAACACTAAACGGGACCTTAGATATTTTATCATTAAAACTCATGTATTTAAGAAAAAATTGTCATTTTCTCTAATTAATTAGTAAGTTATGTTCTAATTAATTAGCAAATCTTCTAGTATCGCTATTTTAATCATATTATTATGTATTTTATACAGGGTTAAATTTAGTTAATTTCTAATTATATGTGTGTTTTATGAAAAAACCCATTAGGTCTTTATACAATTGAAGTTTGTATAAAGATGAGGGCAGTACTAGAAGTTCTAAGAACGATTGATGTTGTAGTGAAAGATGGATCTCTGGTTTTAGTCAAAATGGAAATACCATGGATGCCTTAAAAGTGCTTTTCTTGTTGCATTTTTGGACATTCTGATAAAAGTTGTCTAAGTAAGCCAGTGATAGTTACAACTAAAGTGTGGATGACTAAGGATAAGGCTAATGCTACATTGCTAGAGAATAAAAAGAATGAGGGAAATACAGAGCCGTCTACAAGTAAAAGAATGAGTGAAATGAAGAAAGTCAAAGTAACAAAAACTTTCTCTGCTACTAAGGATGATGACAAGGTAGTAACATAAAACCCTTCTACTAAGGCTAATTCTGTGATCAAATTTGCTATATTGGAGTCTATAAAGGAATTACATACTATAAGGTGTGAAATTAGTGATTTTAAAGGAATAATGGATGTGAATCATTCACTAAAGAAGCCTATAGCTGTAGCTGCTAAGGTGGCAGATTTGATGAATGTTATCAAAAGTAAAAAGAAAAGACCAATTGACAAGGGAAAAAAACTAGTAAAGGCAGGCACTTTTGCCTTGATAGATCATAATTCCAATTCTCTAATATGAGTTGTATAGTATGGAACACTAAAGGATTTAACTGTCCTCTAAAAAGAAAAGATGTAGTAGATAGAATACAAAGA